CGCGCCGGAAACTAAATGCCAAGTGTCCTCGACTGCGGCGGAGCTCGCTGGGGTTTCTTTGTGCAGGGTGGTGACAGGGCCGACTCGTCTGGCTTTCTGGGGGAGGCGGGGGGTGCTGTCAGGAGGAGCCACTCCACCACAGGATGAAGTGAAACACCCTAGATGCGGCCGGCCGGAGAAAGAAACCTCCAGATACCCGGGCTGGCTGCCCCGGGTCCCGCCTGGTTCTCCCGCTCAGGGACTCTCCCCCTTCCGATCTGCAAGCAAAGACCTGGGTCGCGCACCCAGAAATGCTCTTCCTTTCTGGATCGGGTCTTTTTTTAAAATCTCCGTTCTCCGATCATCAGCAGGTCCCTTGTTCCTCTGGCCCGCGCGCTGCGCTCAGAGGCGGGCTCCCCGCAGACGCACGGTCTCGGCCGACCCTTCCCCGCGAGCTCCGCGGTCCCCTGCCTCTGGCCTCGCCATTCAGGTGGCCCTTCGGGCCGACGGCGCGGTCGCCCGGGAGGCGTCACCAGACGAGCTCTGGCCCGGGGGTTGCGGAGCCTGGGCGGCAGCGACTCGGCGCGAAAGGCGGGCTGCGCCAAGCAGGGCGCACGGGGCCGCGCGCACCTCGCAGGGTGCTCGGAGCTCGGCGCACGGCGCCTTCAACACCATGGACAGGTCACGCCGTCGCGGCGCGCGGCAGGCCCCGCCGCTAGCCCCCTGGGCGTCATGCCGTTCTCCCCAGCGCCGTCTTCCGCCTGGAGTGTCCACCTGGCCACCTGCACACCCTGCTCTCTCCCACGACGCCTCCGCCTCACTTCATCTGGCTCCGGGTAGCCCCGCGAGCGTGCTGGCCAGGTGCAAAGGAACTGCTGCAGACACCGAGGAAAACCCCGGTCCCAGCCCCTCGAAACAATCCTCCCCTTCCTCCCGCCACCTGAGTCCCTGGCACTCGGGCACCCCGTCTGCTCTGCCCAGCTGGGTTCAGCCGCTCTCGGATTGCACCATTTTCCTCGAAGCCCACCCCGGCGCCGAGATGCCGGCTCACTCGGCCGCTTGCAGAGAATCCCGTCCCGGCCTCGGCGTCCCACGATCCGGCTCCCGGCGCGAAGTGGTCGCCGAGGTGAATGGGGCGCGGGTGGGGGAGGGAGACTGGATCTCTCGGCTTCCCCTCCCTGCCTCCTCCTCTAACCACGGCGGCTTCGAGGCATCGCAGGCCCGCCGGGTGCCCGGGAGGATCGAGAGCCCAGGCTGCGCCCAGGGGGCTCGGGAAATCTCATCGCCCGGGCTCGGGCGCCGGAGGAAGCCGCTGCCGCGCTCTCTCGCTGGGCGCCGTGCGCTGCAGCCTTGGCTAAAACCCACAGACGAGAACACGGAGCGCGCAGCCAAAAGCTAGTGATGTCATCCGTGCAACGTGAGCCTCATCTCTTATTTTTCTAGCCTCCTTAAAGATAAACTGCACCATTTCCCAAGCACGGAATGTCTCAGCCTTATTCTTTGACCAGGCAAGTCAATGGTGTCTAGATAGGTATGTGCCCAGCCACATCCATATTTATGCACATATACATACATGTGGCATGTAGCATGTGTACATACATTATTATAAATTTAGGGATGTTGCCTATAGCTCCTGTTTCTCTTTTCGGTCACAGTCCTTTAAATGAAAGACTGCTTATTACGGCGTCTACCTTCAGAGGGGCGAAGCGAGCTCCCTGCGTCCCCGGTTCGGTAACTGGTGTCTTGGGTTGCATTGGATCTTTGTTCTCCCCTAGAAAGCCACAGGCGCTACCTTGCTAGCTACAAGCGTTCGCACCCGAGTCTGAGAGCGGCCGCGGCTTATCACGGCCAGCCCCAGTGCAGTCTCAAGCCAGTGCCACCATCCCGACACACACCCACTCCCCCCCACCTGCCCCGCTCCTCTACCTGTGCTCTCACCTCTCCCTCCCTCCTCTGCCCGCCCCCCTCCTCCACCTGCCCTCCCTCCTCCACCTGCCCTCCCTCCTCCACCTGCCCTCCCTCCTCCACCTGCCCTCCCCTCCACCTGTTCGCCCTCCTCCCTTCCCTACTCCCTCCCTTCCCTGCTCTTCTCTTCCCTCCTTCTCCACCTGCCCTCCTTCTCAACAGAAAAAGAAAGAATGCATTTGTCTAATCCATTCAAGACAAGAAGAGAATTTTAAGGGGGGTGGGAGCGTTGGTTAGTGAATATTTTGAAAACGTCAGGGTGGGGGGACTCGTGCTTTTGGGTGGGGATTGGGGTGTTGGAGAAAACCTCGGTGCAGGGGTTTGTCATTGTGTGTGCGTGGCCGCTGTGTTTAGGCTCTGCGGGGCTCTGGGAGGTAGCACCAAGCCCCAGACCTTGAGTGGGTGGGCCGCAGGCGAGTCCCTTTCCGTCCCACCCTCCGTCCTCCGCCCCGTTTCTCTCACGTGAGACAGCGCCAAGGGCTGGGAGCCTCCATCTCAGCTCGCGACACTGGTTTTCACTCCCGTGCTCACCCCTTGTTTTCACCCTCACTCCAAAGTCGAGGGCCCGCACTGCCAGGTAGAGAGCGCCCATGGGAACGAGAGCGCCCGGCACCCTTATTTGCTCAACGGGACGGTGTGCCAAAATGAGCGCACTTCCACCATATTCTCTCTCCCTCTCTCTCTTTCTCTCGCTCTCTCTCCTGCATTTTGAGGCGTTTCAGTGCCATCTAGTGGGGGAGGGGCGTGTCTCGCTTTTCGCGACGGGATTTGCTGAAAGGAGAGCAGGGCCTGAGGTTGCAGGGCTGGTCGAGGTCGCCAGGTACGTGCCCTTAGCCAGATCCCCGCGGTCTTCACCTTTGCATCTTCACCAAGATGTCGACGTGGAGCCAAGTGACTCTGGTCCCAGTGTCTTCTCACCTTCCTCCCTCCCTTCTCTTACCGGCTCTCCCTCCCCCAACCTGGAAAATACGGAAACAAATAACACCACACACACACAAACAAATAACACTTCACACACATGCAAAACAACATTTTACATTTCTGAACCTATTTTCTTTGTTAAATTCCTTCTAGGCTAACAAAGTGCCTGTATTTGATGACAGAGTGGAAGCAGAGTGGTGAAATAATGTCTACAAGTTCACTCAGAAAGTTGAGGCACAGCCAGCAATGGAGACTCCTGGTTCCCAACTCTCCTTAGATCCAGCTGAAGGAGGTGCCCCTGAGACCTTTGGTCGTTCAGAAAGTTGCAATAAAGGTACTTGTTTATTTTGTCCTTAGGTGTCCTCCCTCTTCCACTATGCCATCCCTTTCCTTTTGCTTTTTAACTTTGTCTCCTGGCACATGCCTCAGGCCTGCTTCGGAGGAGATGCCTGGCCCCATGCCCCGCGGTCCTCAGCAGTCCTATGATTCTGGCCCTGCAGGGGAAAGGGACCCAAATGGTACACTGTCCTCCTGTTTTCTGAGCACCATTAAAGTTCTGTTTTGAAATTTGTGTTCTTAATGAAATCCCAAAAATCCTCTGAAAGATATTGATTTGAGACTTCTTTTCAAGTGCAATTATCTTGGGCAGCCCTTTACCATTCATTATGGGGTAATCCTGGTCTTCAGGGTTAAGAAGGTACAATCTTCATCTAGACTGTATGATTGCATGACTACTTTTTTGTTATTGAGTGATCTGAGTGTCTTCCCTTTGTCTTCTTTCAATTCATTCCACCATGTTAGCAACAGCATCACAATCTCTGTTTCCAACCCTTTCCTTTCCTTTTGCACCAACACTGTCCTAGGATCATAGAATCTCAAAATCTAAAGGGACATTAGAGTCAACCACAAAATAATGCATGAACCTCTCCAAGAACACTTCCCAAAAGATGAATGACCAGTTTCTGCTTGTACATTTGCAGTGATGTGGAAATCACTTTGTCTGTTATCAGCCCACTCTACTACTGGATAATTGAAATAAGTAGACTTCTTTCTTATATGTAGCCTTATCCTAGGTCTCCTTAACTGTCCATTGACCTTTGGTTTTGCCTCATAGAGGCCCACAGATGACACCTGGTCTTTCTTGTACTTGACATCAGCCATCATGTACTCCCTAAACCTTGTTTCTGCCAGTCTAAATATCCTTTGTTCATTCCTGTGCTTGCTTTTCTCTGGTTTCTGTTACCACCTGATTCTTGGTGCTTCTCTTAGGTAACACCTTCTTCATCTAACAGTCATATAAACCTATGAAGAAGAAAATGTCAGTCTGTCATCTTTTTACATGACCTATGTGGAGTTCTAATGATCCTCACTGCTTCTTTTGGGAGCCCATAAGTCATCCCTTTCTTAAGCTATCCTAGGATCTTGCCCTAAAATGACATTAAGTTCATTGATTTATAGTTTGTGAAATCTACATTTTTAAAATTTGAAATTCCATTTGTTCACACATACACACACACACACACCCCTTAAAAAAGAAAAGCAGTGTTCACATTCTGCAAGCTTTCTCTGAGATCACCAACAAAGGTTGAGATATCATTGAAAGTTCTCTTCATTTCCTGGAATGCAGTCCACCTGGAGCACACAGATACATTCATACCATTTCTTCACCCATTCTGAACCATCTCACTTGCTGTATTTGATCTACCCTGCACACCATCTTCAGTCTGAGAATCCCTCTCCTTGACGTTGTCAATCAAAGCAAAATTAAACTTGATGAAATGTGCTTTCTCTTTGCCTTCTATCTATATTAATATTATACCATTTGTCCAGAGAGAAGGCTGCCAGCATATTATTATTTATTTTTCATAGTTAACTTTGAACAGTTTGGACATTATTTGTAACCCATTAGTTATTTTGAGCTTTACCCCTTCTGACACAG